GCTAGGCCAACAAGTTTATTGTATTGTTTAACTAATGTTATAAACAAGTTTTTCAGGAATATTCTTACAAGTTTCTTGATACTTTTATTTTACAGATGCCCTATTTTCATTTTGTGAAGCGTTTAACATCCGCATTTCCAAATGTATATAGTATATCACGGTAAGTTTATAATCCATACTGCAACTACTAAAATTATTAATCATATTACCAATAAATTTATGTTTTAAAGTGTAGTGGGCTAGGCCAACAAGTTTATTGTATTGTTTAACTAAGCGCCACACTATCTGCTCTAAGTTTATTGTATTGTTTAACTAAGTGCCACACTATCTGTCCTATGCGATCTCTGCTTTTTCAAAAAATCGGAATAATATAAAGAATATCATAAAATTTGAACTCAGCCCAGAACCCAACGAACATAGTTTAGTTTTTCTTTGATTTTGTGGGTTCTTAAGGTCCTGTTTATAAAAATGATAGATTGTTTAGCAAGAACAGAATTCTCTATATTTTTCTAAATTATAATGACCTTTTCAAGATTCACACTTAATTTCCAGCAAGTATTTGGGCTTAATTTTCCACCGTCTGAATCCGCTGCATTTATGTTTATGGGTATACAAAACTTACTTAAAAATGAAGACCTGTGCATTTTTTCTCATCTCAGGTTTCATCACACAACACCGGCAGCGTGCTGTCACAGCAAAACACGGAGTGGCGAGAAATACACCGATCCTTTTAAACTGGGCTGGAGAGACTTGAAAGGTCTGTATGAGGACATAAGAAAGGTGAGGTTTTTTTTATTTTGCTGTGAAGTCATGTTTTCGCTTCGTAAAACTTAGTAGAGTGTTAGATTAATGAAAAAACCAGCTCAGGTTTTCAGCTACGTACGATGCCATTGCAGACTTGATTTGCATACGGCAAGTTTCAGGTGTTTCTGGAACAACCATGTGCAGCCACCAGGGCGCTGGCTGTCATATTGTCACAGCAACACCACTTCCCGAGCTCCCTTGGCTCCTGCTCTGTGGCTGTGTGCAAGCTTGCCTGTGCCCTCTCTCCGTGCTGGCCTCCTTTCCTCCCACCTCAGCAGTAATGTCCCCTTTCTCTCTAGGGACAGCCCCTTTGCTCAGTCTCCTAGGAAGTCCTGCTAGTTGCCTAGCAGTTTCCCGCCCTCCGTCCCTGCTCTGCAAACTGGCATTGTCTCTTTCATTTCCACTGGAGGTGCTCCAGGTCCCGCTGCTTCATTTCTAAAAAGCCATGCCCTGACCCGTGTCCCACCCCTTCCCTCCGTCACAGCGCTTTCTGCCTCTGTCCTCTCTCACGCCTTCGGGCTTCTCCAATTCGCTGTGGCTCCCTTTCTGGCCTCTTTGCTGAAATTGCTTTTGCCCCGGTCACCGGTAGCTTCCTTTTATTAAACCCAACGGGCACTTTCTGGCTTTTCTCTTCCTTGACTTTTGTGGACACTGGGCACTGTTGAGTGTCCCCCTGCTTCGGTTCCCTTGGCTTCCACGCTTCCCGCCTCACCCCCAGGCCATTCTTCCGTTCATCACCTCCATTCCACCCCCTTTAATTTTGCTGTTCCCTGCGGTTCTGTTGGACCTGCCTCTCTCTGTGTCCCCTAAATACCATTTCCATACTTCCCCCTCCCAGGTGGTCTCTCTTCTCCAGATCGCATTGTCCCTCTTACCCCCATACAGCCACCTGCTCCCCTGGCAGCTCCATGGAGTGTCTGTGACAGTCTCAAGCTCAACATACCTGACACTCTACTTTCCCCCAGAAACTGGTTTTTTCTCCTGGTTTCCCTGCTCCTCGAAGGTACCACCCAGGAACATGAAAAGGATCCTGGACTCATCCCTGTCCTTCCCCTGCATGTCCTTCTAGTCTGTCTCTTGCCTTCGGTCCCCACAGCCCTAGGCCACTCCCATGCCTCTTGTCCTCTCGTCCTTGCTCTTTTCCTCCCCGTCTCCATCGGGCCAGAGGTTCCCCTTCGTGCTCCCAGGGTGACTGTGTTTACCTCGGTGACAGCAGCACACCTGTCACCCTGCATGGCATTAACTGCAACAGTTGCTTTACTTCTCCCATCTAGACCCTGAGCTCTCCGTAGGTACGGGGTATTTACTTATCTCTGTGACCTCTGCGTTTATTACGCTGCTTGGCACCACGGCGGTAACTTAGCGAATGGATGACCGGCCACCTGTGCCTGCCTGAGGGTTCATTCTTGGCTCCCACCGCTTCCAGGGGATCAGCTCTGATCCAGTCGAGCCCGTCCTGGAGCGGCAGAGGGGACAGACCCTCCCATCACCTGGAAGGCTCTCCCGCCTCTTCAGGAATCAAAGTCCCACGTATCCTTCTGCGTCCTGGTCAAAGCTTGTCTCCCCTACGAAACACTTGGCTTTTGTAGCCCCCATTGTCTCTTCCTTCTCTGAACTTTCTGTATGTTGAATGGACAGCATTGTTTAGGCTACCACTGTAGTAGTTGTACCTTATATTTTTAAAATTTTTGTCTCCCCGATTGTAAGCTCCTCGAAATCAAGCCATACCCCACACCTCCTCTCTGAACCTTCAGAATGTCTTTGGCTAAATGAAGGCCAAGCCAGACTAACTGATCCCTGTTGCTTCTCCCCGACCACCGTCTTACCATCTTCCTGCCCCTAATAAATAGCTTTCTGCCCTGCCCAGGATGCCCCCAACCTGCTTCGTGGGCAACAACAGCCACCGGCTCCCACCACTGGCTCCCACTGTCCCCATCTTCCTCCTCCACCCTCCATCTTCCAAGTTGCTACCGGCCCTGGTTCCTTTTTCTGTCCAGCTGTGCCCACCTGGAGTCCCTGGGTACCCCAATGCATTCTTCTGCCTCCTGCTGCCTCCTGGACTCATGGTATCTGAGGCTGTGAATGGTGTAGGCGGCTGTACCTGCTCCAGCACTCGGGCCCAGCCTGGAATTGTTTGTGTCCCAGCCTCCGGGCAGCCAGGTGTGCGGCCTCACAGCGTTGGAGCGTTGTCCCCCTGAGTGTTGAGTTCCTCAACTGAAACGAATACGCTGCAATCAAACCAGAGTTTCTTAAAAGAAATCCCGTTGACTTTCTGTGCAATTACGATTCCGTTTTGACACAGGGCAACTTTATTTCAGGAACTGCTCATATCTACGACGGAACTTAAGGAAATGTCTGAGTACTACTTTGATGGGAAAGGAAAAGCCTTTCGACCAATTATCGTGGTGCTAATGGCCCGAGCGTGTAATATTCACCATAATAACTCCCGGTGAGTGCTTTCTTTCACACCTGTCGTTTTTTTTATTTGGGAATTCTTTCTTCCCAGGGCTACTGTTTCATTTTCCACTTAAGGAGTAGCATATATCCAAGAATTCCCTTTGCGACCTGTAGATTGTGACTTTGAGTCACTAAAGGCACTCTGGACTCTAGCCTAGCCGTCCTCCTTTTCCAGACTGTTTAATGTCTGTTGAAGAACAACTTTAGCTGCAAATTAACATTTAGAAAAATGTTAAGAGCCAAATTGAGTTTTCTCATTAGGAAGTAAAGAGTACCAGGATGTGTGAATACATTTAACCATTATACGCGTGGGGCAGTTAGTCCAAAGGTCGATTGTTCTAGATAGGTTAGGTGCACTTTAACTTGGGCAACACACACCCTGGGGCGCCTGCTTCCCTGTGACCTTCTGATTGTGCAAAAGAGAAATTTTCTTTAAAGAAGACATTTTAACTCTTAGGTTTTAAATATATATAAAATTTTAAAATATTAAGACAACTGCCACATTTGGATATTAAAGGAAATCTTAAAAGGAAAAAGGATTTTCCGCATTACCTCATGCAGCGATCTGCTCCTTCCATCCTTCCCTCCATTCCGTTTTTTAAGTTGCTGTGGATACACAGGAGTTGTGCATCTTTATGGGGTGCGTGTGAAATTTTGATCTAGGCACAGAGTGTGTAATGATCAATCAGGGTAATGGGGTATCTGTCACCTCGGGCATTTATCATTCCTTTGAGTTAGGAACATTCCAGTTCCACGCTATTAATTATTTTAAAGTATATAATAATTGGAAATATACAACACATTATTGTTAAGTGTAGTTGCCCTATTGTGTCTCCAAACACTAGATCTTGTTCCTTCTATCTTAAGTGTATTTTTAAAACTACTAACCATATTCAGTCAATCAGTATATATATTATTTTATATATAATATATATATATAATTTGGGTTCTGCTTTGTTTTACTTACTGTTGTTTTTTAAACTCTTTCCCATGTTGCTGAACTGTCTTCATGATTACATCGTATAATCTACTGATGGGAATTCCAATAGAGCATAAAGTACCAATACATTTCCCTAGTGTTGAAGATATGCATCAAATTCCCTCTCAGTAGATAACACTTTAAAGAATGCCTGAGATTAGTCAGCACTGAATTAAATGATGCTGTGAAGAAAGAGCATCAGATATGGCTGCTTAGCGGCCGCCCACCTCTGTCCGCCGCCTGCTGGGCCCTCCCCCTGTGCCCTTGTGTCCAGCACATCACACCGTGCCCAGGGTCGGCTTCCACTTAAACTGGACCTTTCGAAGAGCTCACAGTATATTTTGAGCAAGTAGACATCTTGGCCTTTTAACCATCATCAAGACCACTTTCACTTTTCCTGGAAGGCAGAGCAGCAGAAATGCTCCCTCTGAACCAACCTTGAACCACATCTCACGTGGTCTAGAGCAGAGTTACCGAGCCTTGGCAGTAGTGATATTTTGGGCCACGTCATTCTTTCCTTGGGGCTGGGGGGGCCTGTCCTGTGCATTATAGAATGTTTAGCAGCGTCCCTGGCCTGTACCCACTAGACTCCCCCCAGTTGATAACAACCAAAAAATGTTTGCAATCACTGCCACATGTGCCCTGCGGTGCAAAATCACCTGTGGTTGAGAACCACTGGTCTAGAGAGAGAGTGGTTAATATTTTTAATTTCTTAGATTAATACATACTACAGTTCATTACTCTCAAGAGATAACATGGGAAGGAAAATATTCTTCACTACTTTAAATCCTCCATCAGTCCTCGTCCTTACAGTTGAAAGTTTTTTCAGTTTGCTGTACTGAAACTGTATAAACTGTCGGTTGCAGAAAACATGGGAAAATATAATAGAAAAGGCAACACTGCCCTCTGCAGGGGATGTTTGAGTATAGCTTAGTTCTCCCCGTAAGTGATTGGAGCAGGGGTTATTAGGGTGCAGAGGCGGCGTCCCACACGGGGACGAGAGTCTCGACTGTGGCATAGATTTGGGTTGTACAGAACCCTAACGGTATTGCTCTCCCAGCCCCAAGTTCTTGAGAACACTTGTTACTTCCTAAGGACCCTGTGGATCAGGCTCTGCACGGGCTAATGCCTAGCTGTTACTTCCACGGCGTGGAAGGAGGGGCGGGGCTTCCAGAGAGCCGGGCCATGCGTGATTTGCTTGCAGAGAAAGGCGCAGAGCAATGGGCAAAAGCAGTAGTTGAGGGTCAGGAGCAGGACCACACACAGCCTGTTTCATCCGGTGCCACCAGAGGCTCCGCCAGCCCCCGTGGCGCCAGAACCTGTTCCTGAACTTGACGTGCTTGCTTGGTGGTGATGGCGTGACTGAGAGATACCACTGTGTCACTTGGCAATCAGAGTTTAACGGTTCCCGTGAGGCTTATCAGACACCTTCTTGCTTCCCAGGTGTGTATTAAATAGGGAATTCTAGAAACAGAACCTTGGAGGGGGTTTTAGAAAACAGAATAGGACAGATATCTTAAGAAATAGAGAAAAGGGGGGAAGCTACCTTTTATTGATTTTTCTCTTTTTCCTTTAATTAAGCTTTGCAGTTCCCTGCTAGATTACTGGGAGCTCTTAACCTGAGGTCCATGGGAGTTACAGGGGTGTGTGTCAACCCCTTGAAGTTGATTGCAAAATTTTTTGCATATTTGCATTTTTCTGGGAAACAGTATCTATGGCTTATAATATAAATATATTCTCAAAGGGTAATACAGCCCTGAAAAGCTTAAGACCCAATCTTGTTTCCTCTCTGTGCCCTGACAGCCACAGTCCTGGGTGGGCGAAGTAGGGATGTATACACCAGATGACTCAGACACGAAACGTCCAGAAAACAGAACTATGCTGGATTCTGAGATGTGTCTCTGGATTCCCCCTTCAATGCAGGACGCTGCCCCAGCTGCTGTCCCAGGTGCTGTTGGTACCTCTTGGCCTCCATCATTCATCCCCTTCAAGGATTGCTTTGGCCTGCGCCCCTGCTGGGAGGAGCCCACATCCGGGGACTGATATAGCTCCACAGTGCCCTAGGGGGTGTCAGGCTGTCAGTGGGCTGCATTGCAGAGCAACTCCTTCCTCTGCCCAGTCCTGTTTCCTCCCTCCCTCCCTCTCCAAGGGAGATCCCAAGGGCACTCCTGAGTTAACGTCCCGTACGTTTAAACTTCATCATTGCACAGTCTGCTACCTGGAGAACCTACCTTGTAACAGAGTTCAGCAAAAACCCAAACTAATTATAGGTCAGGACTTATCCAAAGAATCCAGATCAAAAGAAAACTTTATAATAAATAGGTGTCTATAAAACTGCTCCATGGAATACCGCACAGTTCTGCTAAACAAGCCAAAGCTGTCCTGCTCAGCAGCCTCATTGAAGGGACCTACTATTAGCATTGGCACCTGGATCTTGGCACCATTCATTCCCGCATGAAACTCTTCTAGCACTGGAAAGTCGCTGTCATTGCCAACGATCAGGATCACGGGGCTGCCCAACTTACATCGTGCGCAGATCTGTTGATCTTGATTGTGCAGATAGTCAAGTGGCATTGAGTCCCACCAGCCTAGTTTTCAAAGCTGGACCGGATGATTAGACGGCCATATTATAAGAGGCGGTTGTCACATTAGGTAATAGGTCAAAGGTCCAGGTGTGATCAAAATCTTATATTGAGAGGAGGTAACTTTTATAGCTTTATAAAAACTAAGGAAATTACCAAAGCCCACCCTGGGAAGACTGTAACAACCATCACTAAGCACCGACTCTCTTAAACAATTCCGAAGGTCAGGCCACGGGCGATCCTAGCACCGTTCCTGGGTTCTGTGTGCTCTGAATCATTTGAACCGGAGCAAATGCTGCTGTGGTTTATGGGATAGGCAAGAAGTGTGGTGCCAGAGGAAGTGTTTTTGTCTTTAACCTAGGAGGTGGCACTTTTGATGTGTCCGTACTCCCTATTAAAATGGATCTTTGAAATATAATCTGTTATATTAACAGCAAGGGATACCCACCCACTATGGTGGAGATTTTGATGAGCAGATGGTCTTCATTTCCGTGGTGAGCTCAAGGTGAAGCATAGGAAGATCAGTGACAGCAAGAGAGCTGTAGGGCTTGTGGATGTGGCATGTGCACCCTTTTCAGCACCCACCTCGCCCGGAGGAGGCCGATTCTGTCTGCAAAGGAATCAGCTTCTACACCTTTATCACCCGTGCTCAATTTGAAAAAACCGGACACTGCAATATTCTGCGGCACCCTGGGTCCTATGGAGAAAGCCCCGCACAGAGCAACCTGGATCAGATGCAGATCCGGGTGTCATCATGGGGAGTTGCTCCCCACATATCCCAGGATCCAGAAGCTTCTGTAGTGCTTCTTAGGTGGCAAGAAAATAAACAATATTTTTAGTGATAAACCTTTTATTGCTGATGATGCAACTTTGCAGGCATCCTTTTTATCTGCAGCTAAATCTGAAAATATTCAAGAGCTCCTGCTTTCGGATGTCAGTTCTTTTCTCTTACTGTTAAATTGCTAACATACGTATGACTTTTATGATCAAGCTTTTAAAAAACCATCATTCTCACCAATGAGAGACTTTATTCCGGGTCTGGTGTGCTGCTTTAGGTTTACGAAGGTGAATGGGCAGGGACCAGGGATGGTGGCCAGCAAGTTAGAGCTCACAGGCGTCTCTCCTTCTTTGAGGGACAGCACCCTTGTTGTGGATTCCCACCCACACTGCAACCCCCCACACTGGGGGTTTACTTGTCATTTGTTTAAAACTTCACGTTATGTATTAGTATGAACGGGGTAAAACTCATGTTTAAGGTAACATGGAAGCTGAGTTAAGGGTTTGTGGGCGGTTCATATTATTCCATCTATTTTTATGCATGTTTGAATTTGTTATTTAAAAAAATGTTTTTAACCTAATAAAGGGGACAAAGAGATGTCCTGAGTGGCTTGCTGAATCATAGCGTAGTCGTGCAGGTCTGAAGTACAGAGG